CAGGAAACTGAAGAAGTGAGCAGTGCCAGTGGCCTTTAGCTCTGGAGGAACAAACACAGAGAAAGCGGTGGGGGATTAGTTGGCACCTCCTGGGGTTATTTTTGATAACATAGCATAATCTGTTTAAGTGGCACGCTTGATTTGTAGGGAAGGGCATAAAACATTTTCAACTCACTCTAGCTTTTAAAGCATTTGTTCTTTCCCCTTTATTATTCTTAATTCAGATTAACTTTCTTGTTTATACTCATGATTTTTTCCCCATTGGTTTCAATGGAAACCACATTTCCAGCCATAAATTCCCTGCCTCCCTTGATTCAAATAGGATGAAATTCTCAGGATTTGTATCCATCACCCTTTGACTGCTGCTTGCTAAAGTTTGGGTAGATAAGAGAAAGGTTTTCCATTTTGCATAGTCAATGAAAATGTTGCTTGCAGTATGACAACTACTGGAAATATTAGTTCCTAATGGAAGCAGGTGGATACTATATATATTTATTGAAAGTAAAAGAAGAAGGGGACGGCAAAGGATGTGATGGTTAGACAGTGTTATCAATGCAACGAACATGAAGTTGAGCAAACTCCGGAAGACAACGGAGGACAAAATGGCCTGGCATGATGTGGTCCATGGGGTTGCGAAGAGTCAGACTTGATTGTGCAACTGAACAACAACAAGAAGATACATACATACATACATATATGGAGATCCGTGTACATGAGACCACCCATTCCTATCTAAAGCAGGATGTGCAGGAGTGCACAGCAAAGGGAGCAAAATCCTGCACCTCCCATGGATGGTTTGGCCCTAGTCCATCTAACTTTCTCTCATGTGCATTGTCATGCATTGTTCCTTTCCCAAGTCCATATGTCAGCCTATGAGCTACACCCCCACAAAGAACAGAATGTCGAGCAAGCAGGAACCACCATAGCTCACAACAAATCAAACTCCCGAGGTGACCATTGTCTGCAATTTGACAGGAAAGATCACTTCTATGAGTGATCAAATCCTTGAGAACTTCATCCCAACTGGGTGTGTGGGGGAAGGTAATGTTGGAAACAAGGTCTGACAATCCAGTATTACTATTGTTTAGACTGACCTGGAAGGGAAACCTGGCACAGAGCCAATGGGGAATTAGCCCGGGAAAAGTAACTTGCATTGTGATACAGATTGGTTGTTTGTTTCAGGTGACTTCCTTTCTAGGGGTCGAGAAGAAGGACAGATTCTTCATTATCTCTGTGTAGTATGTAACAATGATTTGAACTGTAAGCAGCTTAGAAAATGTAGCTCTTAGGAGTTTGTTATTTTGTAGGTTTCCTGTATACCTTTTATCCTTAGAAATAAAGGTTTTTAAATGCAAAGAAATCTCTTCTTTCCAAAAGAGCAAGATCCATTGATACTCTGAGTAATTTAAATACTTTTGGCTATTTTACAACAGGTAATTGACTACCAGTTTTGTTGTCGAAGGCTTTCATGGCTGGAGTTCATTAGTTGTTGTAGATTTTTCGGGCTGTATGGCCATGGTCTTGGCATTGTAGTACCTGACGTTTCACCAGCAGCTGTGACTGGCATCCTCAGAGGTATAACACAGAAAGTAGCAAATGGCTACTCCAAGAATGAAATCAGAAGAGCGATAAAGGTAAAACAAACAAATGGGGAAAAACAGCCTCCCACAGGAAAAGTGTTTTTGCCATATATCAAATGAATCACTTATCAGATGAGAAAACACAACCTAAAAACAGTATTCAGACCCACCAGAAAAATACAACAGATGCTACAATCGGCAAAAGACAGAAGAGATCCCCTGACTTCTGCAGGAGTATACTGCATACCCTGTGGTTGTGTACAAGATTACATCAGGACCACACAGCATAGCATCCAGACAAGAATAAAAGAACATGAAAGACACTGCAGACTTGGCCATCCTGAAAAATCAGCAGTGGCTGAACATACCCTAACTCAAACAGGACATAGTATCTTATTCCAAGACAGTGAAATACTGGACAACACATCCAATTACGGTAATTACCATGTCAGACTACACAGGGAAGCCACTGAGAATCATAAACATAAACACAATTTCAACAGGAAAGGAAAGAGTTTAAAAATAAATAGGGCATGGTCTCCTGAAAAACACAAAATGCTCTACATCTTACAACAACACTATAGATAAGATTAGAATTTCAACAGCCAATCCATATGCAAAAGCCAATCCATATGCAAAAGAAACTCCTCAGGAAAGCTCCTCCATTAGCATGTTACAGCCTGGGAAACTCCTACAAGTGAATGACTGAGCCCTACCCCACCCTCCTGAGTAGATATAAATTACCATTTTTCTTCTCACACTGACACAGACAGTACTCCATCTTTCTGTATTATACCTCTGAGGATGCCAGTCACAGCTGCTGGTGAAACGTCAGGTACTACAATGCCAAGACCATGGCCAATCAGCCCGGAAAATCTACAACTACCAGATTGTTTAGTAGACTTTAATTCTGATATTAAAGAAACAGAATCAAGATTTTAAAATTAAAAAATTAATCAACTCAAGGTGTACATTTTTGCACACCCTTAAATATTACTGACTGTTGCTAATATTTCCATTCAAATTAGTTTTATTATCAGTGTCGAAGAATGTAATATTTTCAGTTCCAGGTTTAATTAGTTAATATCTGAGTACACCTGTGGCAGCTGTCAAGCCCCCAAATTCTTAAGCACCTTGGGACTTAAGCATAATGAAACATGAACCTTTATCAATAAACTGTCCCCTCAGCAACTAATCCCAGGCAGCAAGACTTGGTTTTCTGTTCCTAAACATTTTGGCTTCTAACCAGCCTAATTCTATGCAATCAGGTACTCCTAGTCCCATTGAAACCAATTGGCTCTGGTATATGGGATCTATTCCTGAGGACTGACAGATCATAGTGAATCTCAATAAGGCCGTGGAATGCATATAATTTATCATAACAGGCCTGAGGGTAGTTAGAATACTCTCACAATAATGTTTTTCAGTAACTATACTTAACTGGAACCAATTAATCAGGAAATGTGCATTTGCCTAATTGCAGAAGGTAGGCTGCACCATGCCTCTAATAAGATTCCACAGATCTTTATCTTGTAGCACAAGCAGCAAAAGCCCGGCTGTTTTCCATAGGTGACAAGGAGATAGCTCCTAAATCTTGAGCCCACCTTCTCCTTGCCCTCACTGTTGCTAAAATTTCCCATTCCACAACTGAAGAAAAAAATTGTGGGGGGAAGGGATTAGCAAGTTACCTAGTCAGAAATCATTCAGTCACAGCACTGTACAGATACCATACCCAGACAGTCAAGGTAGCTCTGAGACACAGGAACAACCACCACGGCTTATAGAAACATAGGTTTCTTACTTCAAATAGCATGGAAAGTACGTGACTTCGTACTGGATATTTTGTTCCAGTCAATGCAGGGCAAAATTGGGTTTGTTGTGCTCTTTGGTACTACCTTGGTTGGCAAGAAGTGATTCCTTAGAGCCTGTCCCAACTCATGGACCTCTCTGAGTGCAGCAGCCCTCGCCCTGCAAAGGACCCAGTGTGGTCTGCAGGGTAATGTATTGGATCTGAGCCTGGGAATGCTAAGTTTAAAGCTCAGCACTGTCATGGACTCACTGGTGGCCTTGGCAGTTTCCTACCTCTCAGCTTAAATCAATTACATTAATTAATTGTGTGTCAGAAAGGGGAATTTCATTACACAGTATGCGGGATTCCAATCCACAGACCCTAGAAATGCCACAGCCTATTAAAAAATCCTCTTGTAAGGAGAAACTGGAATAGAAGACAGTGACATTCATTCAGTTCAATACGTTCCATGCAGCAGAGTATAATACAGAATGCTCTGCTACATTGGACAGCAAGTTTTCATCTTGACTAGACTTAGGGCTAGACAGGGCAGGGATACAAAAACACTAATTTTCATAAATTGTTTCTGAATGAAGCGCATCCCCTCTCTGAGGGTCCCACTAAAGGAGATCCATGGACAATTTTCCATGGGTTATTTTCAAGCACAACAGCAACAGCATGGGCATTCAATTCAGATTAGGGTCAGAACTCTGGGAGAGTGGGGTTTAACCATTTCCACCAGTGCCATTTTCCTGAGGCAAATCACTCAGAGACACCATCTGCTATTTTCCCCATAGGGAAAACATATAGGTGGGTATTATAAAGATCTCTGGTTGTCAGGTGTAGTTTGGTCCTGTGCTTCGGTTACGAGTCTGCAGGTTGAAGGACTAGTGGAATTACTACTGATCTTCAGACTATATTTATTTATTTATTTATGTATTTATTTATTTTTGGGATTTATATCCCGCCCCATCCAATATACAGCTCGGGGCGGCTAACAAACGGCCATGCCGAAGTTAAAATATGCATACAAACAACAGCATAATAAAAACACTATATCTTGACATAAAATTTGGTGCTTTGATAATTTACATAAAATCCAAGATGGGCGACGTCCTGGGTGACATCTATCCCCACTATGTGGGGTAGATGGTTGGAATATCATTGGTGGAATAGTGGCGGCGGCAGCTCCCCCTCAAAGGCCTGGCAGAAGAGCTCCATCTTGCAGGCCCTGCGGAACTGCACTAGTTCCTGCAGGGCCCGGATCTCCTCCGGGAGCTCATTCCACCAGGTGGGAGCCGCCACCAAGAACACCCTAGCCCTGGTTTGGGTCAACTTCACTTCCTGGGGGCCTGGAACCTCCAGGCGATGGAGATTCCCCGATCGCAGTGCTCTTGGGGGAATGTATAGAGATCAATTCTTCTGAAAGAAATGTCAACTTTGGGGAAGGACTTTATGGTATACCACAAAATCTAGGCAAAACTGATCCATTAGAATAGCTACAAGTGATGGATGTTCTAGGAGTTCCACTTCTCTTATGGTATACCATAGATACTCTCTAGAAAAACTGATTGATTGTTACCTGTAAAGACACTAAAAGAGGCCAGCTGAGAGAACTGAGAGGGATGGGACTGCTGTTGATTGGAGTCCGCCCAAGAGTCTTCAGAATGGA